TGGATATTAGGAGACATGTTTGGTAATTCGCATGCAGTTGATATTGTATTTTTGTGGATAATGCTGAAATTCGATTGTGATGTTTATGAAAATGAACAGATTTTTGTATTGATTTGTAATATATATTTTATTGAACAGGTTATTGAAATGCGCAGGAAATTTTTAGTAAAAAGAAAAATTTTAATTTGAAATAGTACCTCCATTTTTAAAAAAAATTAATTATTATAACGGCGAAATAAAAAATGTCACGAAAAGAAAATTTTTAATTTGAAAATAGTATCCCCATTTAAAATTTTTTTAATTATTATTAGCGACGAAATAAAAAATGTCGCTATTAGTTTTCAAAAAACATGACGAATAATTTTGTCACTAATGATATAGTACCAAACAAATAATTTCGTCACATTTGCTGAATATTTCGTCGCTAAATTGAAATATTTGGTGACAATGTTTTTTGTCATTGAAGAATTTTCTTTCCTGCTCATTTTAGTGACGAATTTTTTTGTCACCTTAATCTATATAATTGGTGAGAAAAACTTTTGTCACTAAAATCTATTTGGTGACAAAATATTTCGTCGCCAAAAATAATTAAAATAAAATATTATCTAATTCTAGTGACGAAATTGATGTAATAGAGGATGAAAAATGCAACATTTGGAGATGAAAAATTTTGTCGCCAAAAATGAAAAATAGACGACGAAACTATTTTTCGTCACCAGGTACTTTCAGCGACAACGTATTGGCGACAAACGTGTTGACAAATTTTTTTGTCACTTCTGTGACGAAAATTTGATATTTGGAGACAAAATCAGTCTATCACCAAAGGTCCTTTTTGTTGTAGTGTTATTTTTTAACTTTACTTATTACGAAAAGACGTACAAAAAAGTAAAAAAGTAATGTGATCTAAATAAGCTAATAAAATGTTTATTTTAGGTGTAGCCAAGAAAATAAATCAAAAAAAATTAAGATTTAGAATGATAAAATTAAAATTTTAAGATTTATTTTGTTACAAGAGTCAAATTCTAAAAAAATTTATATAATTTTCAAAATTAAAATTTTAAGATTTATTTTGTTACAAGAGTCAAATTCTAAAAAAATTTATATAATTTTCTCAAAATACTTTCTAAACATATTAATTTTTTCACTTTAGAGCAACTCCAACCATACTCTTCATTTTTTACTAGCTAAACTATTAAATAAATAAATAAAAAGTATATTCTTTATTTTGTCTAATTCATTTTTTATCTATATACTTCAATACTACTCTTTATTTTACATAATTATACACACAAATTGTATAAAGAGCCTCCCAAGACTCTTCAAATATAGTTAGTTTTGAAGAATTTTGTTAAAATAACTAACTCATTGGAGTGACTAAAATATGATAATACTAGTTATAATAGCTATTAAGCATTGTTCAAAGAGTTCCTTATTTACGCCTCTTTTAGGAAGTGCTAAAAAACCAACTTGTTAGTTTACTTTGGTCACATTACCTTTCAATTTTTTATACTTGTTAGATTTTTGTAATTAGCAATTTCGTTTGACAAAACTCATTTCAATTAATTTTATTCGCTCTTTCGTTTTAGTGAGACTATGAGTGTTTAAGTGCGAATCCAACCTGAATTTTACCTATGCACAGGAGTTTGTGATCTGGATCTTTTCCTGTTTGCCACTTTGCTAACTATGTACGAGGATCGAGTTGCCTGATCAGCTCGTAGGAGTCCAAAGGGCAATGCCCCATATAACAGGTCTGGGGCAGCGCCCAAGCGAGGTTGAGGGGCAACACTCCTGAAACAAAAACCAAAAATACAATCGAAATTGTTTGACCACTCGAGTGATTATTTGTGCGCTCGAGCGAAGAAAAGGATCATCCAATATTTTTTGGGAAACAATTTTTATCGCTTGAGCAGTGAATGTTGCGCTCGAGCGATCAACCTATATGTTTTGTACTGCTTTTACTCACACTACTCGAGCAGTGAAGTGTACGCTCAAGCAGTTTTCACGATCTAGTTTTTTATAAAGTGCGTTGTTTGCTCATTTTAGGATTTGAGCCGTTCAAATTTTCAGAGAGTAAGAAAAAAATAAAGCCTTTTATATCGGAGGGTGCTTTATGAGTGTTTTCTTGATGATTTAAAAGTGATCAATGAATCCTTAAACTTTATATTAACATCATCAAGGGGTTTGTTTATTTTCTGTTATTCACAAAAGAGAGAGTTGTTCTTTGGTGGATTCTAGGAAACTTGAGCCTGAAGCTTTGGTGGATTTCAGAGTGACTCATCATCGTGGATTCGACATCCGCGTTCTGGATTCAATGTTGCGCAAGACAATTCTAAGGTGAAGACAGTGGTGGAAGAAGCATATCGAGGTCAATTCAATTTAGGCATTGATTTGTTAAGTAATTGAGGGTATACTTGTGTAATTCATTTACCTTCTTAGTGTATTGTTTGTAACTTTGGGCCGTGATTTTTTTTTATCACAATTAGAGGCGTTTCAATTGTAATTTTTTCACGTTAAATCGTTGTATCGATTTATCATTGATCGTTTAATTGATATTGATATTTATTATTTAGAATTGAAATATAATCACAAATCAATATTTTAGAAATTTTAATTTTTTTTAATACATCTTTTCGTAATAAATTTTTTTTAATTTTTTTAGCACTTCTTAAAATCACCCATATTAATAAATAAAAAAACACTAATAAAACCACTTGCCAAGCAGTTATTTTTCTTTTTTTTCTTTTTATTCTTTTGAACAATACTTACCAAGCAGTTGGGACCATCAAAAACCAAGTTGGAAAAAAAGGGCAAAAGGATTTGTCACATGGTTCGGATATTGAAATTCAATTTGGATCAGAACTGACTTTAATAAATGCTCAGTCCTCTTTACAAGAGACCAAAAAAGAGAATTCAATCCTGACTCTGTGCATCCACTGCATTCAATTCAATTTTTTCTTTTTCGTTTTTAATTTTTATTTTTTTTGGTACAGAAAGTGGTTTTTCAGTTTTTCTTTTTCAAAAATTTGCAGGTAAAAGTCCAATTATAATAGTGCTGCATTAATTTTGCCTTCTCTGCTTTCCTTTCTCAGGCCAAGACTCCATCGAAGAGACACATCTGATTCGAGATACCTTACCTCTCTTCTGGAATGCTAGTTTTTTTTTTTTTTTAGATATTTACGAGTCTTAATTTATAAATTTATATTCTATTAAATTTTAATTAAAATTTTTTAGACTTTCAAATTTTATTAAATTTTTAATAGTCGAAATTACTCTTCAAACAATGATTGTTCATCATTTATTATTTTCTATAAAGTAACATGATAATCTGATATTTATTTTGACTTTCAAAACTTTCAAATTGAAATTTTTTTTAAAAAAACAATGTGTAAAAAAAATAATTTTTTTAAAAAAAATTGAAAAAGTTAAATTATTTTTTGTGCAAAACCAAAAATTTTGTGTCCATAAAGAAGTATGATGATGGAATATTGATGTGCAAAACTGAAAAAAAAATTAAAATGAAAAAAACTGATAATGTGCTCGGTTTTGTTAGATAGTTGAATTAAACCAATAAGTAGAACGACAAAAAACGTTAATCTCATACTCTGCTTTTTTATCAGTTAGTGAAACAATTATCTGAAACATTACTATGTAAAATTGATAATGTTCTTAATTTTAAAAATTGGAAAAAAAATTAATAATATTTTCAATTTTACTAAATAAGACTTATTAGGTCAAAAAATATTAGATAAGATCTAAGCTACCATAACATTTATAAACTGGACTTTAATATAATTAACTCTTTTTAAAAAAAAAGAAGTAAATAACGATTTCATTTATAATATATTTTTTATTATTTTTTTAATCAATTAAACATGAGATTGAATATTATAATAAAATGATTATTTTATTATATTTCATTCTACTGAATCAAACACTACCTTAAAATTAGTTTGGAAACAAATCAAAAAATAAAAATAAATAAAATGTCAAAAAATAACTAAATACAAAAACTCAAACCCGTTTCTCTATTTTTCTTTTTATACATCCATTTGAAAAACAAATACTACAAAAATCAATTCTTAAAAGAGAACAGCTAGGGTTTCTCACCCACCCTCCTTGCTGAATTTTGTCACAGCAAATTTGGGAGATTGCACACAAAATGATTATTTTATCATTCCACTCTGGTTTGGTGGGTCCTAATTACTCTATTTTTACTATAAAAAATGCTATGGATAAAAATTACATATTTACATTCATTATAATTATATAATTAAATTGTATTCATTTTTTATCTCATTTTCGTAGTTTGTGTGCTGCTCACTTGGTTTCTCAATTTCTTTTTATTATTTTTATTAAAAACATATACATAACACAAAAATAAAAAATAAAAAAGATAAATAAATAAACAAGAGGAAAAATAGTATCTATTACTATTTAGCATATATGGGATGTTTGGCATGAGTTCATTGGCCGGATTTTTAGTCGAGCATTGAAAAGCCCATTGAGCAAATCATGGGTCAGCCTACGCGCTCTACCTTCAGACCAAGCCCAACCCATATATATATTTTAAGACGGTCCAAAGCCCGATGCGTCAGGCCGGACTTGGACTGGCTGATGGGCCATGGGCTTTTTATTACGTTTATGTAAACCACTACAAATTGGGATATGCCCATTGCCCCGGCTATGTTGCTGGGATAACAGATGGCATATAACCTTTCAATTTCAAGCAAAGAAAATAGAAATTAAGGCCTTGTTTGGGATGTGCTAGAAAAGCACATTTTTTTTTTAATCTTTTTATCATATTTGAGTGACATCACCTTTTATATATATCACATCACCTCCCTACTATATTTCACATTTTTTTGTAAAAAATCAAAAAATATACTTATCTAAATCGTCTTTTAATAAAAAGTGGAAGTATAATTTCAATTTTGCAAATCACGAATCAATTCAAATACACAATCGTAAGATTCAGCATAAACTTTAAAAAAATTTAAAAATAAATAAAGAAAAAGAATTTGCATATATGAAGAGGGGAAAAAATGATCTTACATGCCCCAACACCCCAATCAAACTGACAGATTATCTAAACAGTTTACAGTAAAAGCTTGTTTATCGTAGCACAACTAAGATCTATCTTCACCGGAGGATAAAATCAATGTATCAGATGATTCAAAGTTCATTACACAGCCTGTAAATTTTGGGGGGCAAGCTACAGCACAAGTAACTGAATCTAAATAGGGTTAGGGTTGTTAACTACTACTTCACAAGCCAATTACAATAGGAAAGGTATAGCAGATTCCATAATTGGTGAAATCACCACCGTCAGATGCTTTCACCAAGGTTGCCCTTTTCCTCCAAGCCGACGAGCCAGCTCCCAGTCTTTTTTCACTGAGAAAGGAAAGCAATCGAAAAAGGTTTTGAATAAAGTATACGAACTAGCAAGATTGAAAGGTCTAAACAGACTAAACATAGGCATAGCATGTATAGCGTGACATCATTTCAAACGAATGCTTATGCTTGAGAACCCCCATTTCTATGCCATCCTCATCCTTATTCAGAAAACATACAAAGAAATGAAGAATATTAAACTTTTATTAAAATAGGCTAATAATAGAAAGAAAATAGTGACAGCCGGACTTTTGGAAATTGGAGATCAACTATTATACACAGTAACATTCATAACTTAGAGCTGTTAAATATGGTCATCAGATAACAAAAATGTTGAAGAAAAAGGACATTATCTAGGGTTGGTTCTAATTAGTCGAGGATGCTAGGAGTAAAATTGTGCAAAGTGGCAGCTCTAGTCCATTCTCATGCCTAGCAGGCCAAGCTTTAGCCATCACACCAATCAATGCCCCATCAGATAGCAAAAACTAGCAGAAAAAGATACTAGTAGTCTTCTTTGAATATAATGTTGATTTTTGAGTGTTATGGACAGTTGTTCCTTCTTGAACTCAATCATCCCTCCACGGAGAGAGAATTTCAACAGTCCTCCACCGGCATGTATAACCAGAGGGTGAATGAGAAGTCAAATCCAAAAAAGATAAACCGGCTAGAAAATATTCTTTAGAAGTTATACTCCCAACACAAGCATACCCACTGTGATGTATTTGCGAACTCACATGTTCAACTGGGAGACGCAGAAGAATGCTAGATGAGTGTTCCAACCTAATACATACATTAACAATTAATCCATATTTTTGTTTTACAGTTTCCTTTTGAGAACAATGGAAGATTGTTCAAATAAGCACTGCGAATATCTGCTCTTAATAGCCCATGTCAATGTCATCCCCATGCAGGGGAAATGGACAAAACATTGGGATTATCCATTGCAGTCACTATAAATGTACACTGCAATCTTGTAGACTTTTTTGAGATATCCACGCAAATTGCACATCGAATAGGGAATATCAAAGGCCATACTTTTTAAGAAAAGATTATGAGGTATCTGATAACAAACTTATCTGTCTTATTATTCAATGATCAATCAAACAAGTACAAATATATAATCTAATAGAGTCAAACCCTAACAACCTAAAGGATTATACCATCCTTAATGAAGAATATAAACTAAATAATTCACACCCCCCCTCAAACTAAGGATGCGAGCGCAGAAAGCATCGAAAGTTTGCCAAGAAGAAAACGAAAACGAGTAATAGTGTGAGTCTTCGTAAAAAAATCGGCCAACTAAAGAGAGGAGGGAACAAAAGGGAGAGTAATAGTGCTAGCCTGAAGATGCTGTCTGATAAAGTGACAATCTATTTCAACATGCTTGGTCCGCTCATGGAAGACTGAATTATGGGCAATTTGGACAGCACTCTGATTATCGCAATACAACGGAGTCGGATCAGAAAGAGAGACACCCATATCAGAAAGAAGCCACCAAAGCCAAACGATCTCAGAAGTAGCATGAGCCATGGCACGATACTGAGCCTTAGCAGTGGAACGAGCAACAACAGACTGTTTCTTACTCTTCCAAGATATGAGAGAATTGCCGAGGAAAACACAAAGACCAGAAGTGGATTTGCAATCAGAGATGTCACCTACCTAATCAGCGTCAGCATAGGCATGAAGAGTCAAGTCCGAAGAGGCAAATAATAGCAAACATTGCAGCAAAGTGCCACGAAGGTAGTGTAGAGTACGGAGCAAGGCAGCCCAGTGTGTGGAACGAGGAGTAGAAACAAACTGGCTAAGAATGTGCACAGCATAGGAGATATCCGAACCAGTAACGGTGAGATAAACAAGGCACCCAACCAACTCGCGGTACAAAGTGGGATCCTCAAGAGGAACGCTATTAGAAGTAGAAAACTTAGCATGCAACTCAAGAGGAGTGTCAACAATTTTGTCATTAGTGAGATTGGCACGAGAAAGAATATCATGGGCATACTTAGTCTGAGAGAGAAGATACCCAGTAGGAGAAGTAGCAATCTCAATACCAAGAAAATATCGAAGAGATCCTAAATCCTTTATCTCGAACTCCTGAAACAACTGATGCTTAATCTCCTCAATAGTACTATAATCAGAGCCAATGATAATCATATCATCCACATATCAAAGAAGAAGAACAAGGCCAACAGAAGTGCGCCGAACAAAGAGAGCACAATCATGATGACTAGGGCAAAAACCAAGCTAAAGTGCAACAGAGTGAAATCGCTCATACCAAGCACGAGGAGACTACTTGAGACCATATGGAGCACGGCGAAGATGACAAACAACATCAGGAGGGTGAGAGAGACCCAGTGAAGGGTGTACATACACTTCTTTAGCAAGATGCCCATTCAGAAAAGCATTTTTGACATCTAGTTGAAACAAAGGCCAGTAATAGGCAACATCAACAGAGATAAGAGTACGAACAGTAGTCATCTTGGCAACGGGGGCAAAAGTCTCATCGTAATCAATCCCATACTCCTGAGAAAAGCCCTGGGCAACCAAATGAGCTTTGTATTGTTCCAAAGAACCATCAGAAAGGGTTTTGACCTTATAGACCCATTTACAACCTACAACATTCTTGCCAACAGGTAATGGAACTAAATCCCAAGTCTAAGTGTTAGTCGAAGCAGTTAACTCGTCATTCAGCAATCCAATTGGGATCATGAAAAGCTTCCTTGTAGGACCTGGGCTCAAAATAAGTATGAAGACAAGAAAGAAAAGACTGATAGGAAAGGGAAAAGCATGTATTACCAAAACCATACCAGTTTGGAGGCTGATGGTCTCGCTTTGGAAAGCGATGTGCAGGAGGAGCGGGATCCAAAGAAACAGCTGGAACGACAGTAGAGCTAGAGACAGGCGAGCTCGGAAGTGCTTTACGGTGCTGATAAACAAAAAGAGGAGCAGGAAGAACGGGAGCTGGAGAGAAAAAGGCTGGCGAGATATCAGAAGTGCTAGTAAGAGGCAAAGTAGAGACCTCAAGATCAAAAACAAACTCATCGGGAGAAACATCAGGAGGAAATGAGTCAATGTGAATCAATTCATCCTTGGTAATAGGGACAAGGGTGGAAGGTATAGTGTAATAGGGTAGTTTTTCTAAAAAGGTGACATGCCTAGACACATATAGCTTTTAGGTGGCAGGATCATAGCACCGATAACCTTTCTGATTAATGTCATACCCTAAAAAGACACATAGAACACAACGAGAACTAAGCTTAGAGCGTGCTCGTTTAGGAAGGAGTACAAAGCATGCAGAACCGAAAATACGAAGAAGAGAATAATTAGGAGTAACACCAAAAAGACGCTCATACGGAGATGAGCCTGAGAGAAGAGGAGAAGGTATTCGATTGAGCAGATATGCAGCAGTGAGCACAGCTTCTCCCCAGAAAACAAACGGGACAAAAGACGAGAGCAACAAAGAGTGAGCTGTATCAAGGAGATGGCGATGTTTGCACTCAGCTCGATCATTTTAGGCAAGAGTGTCAGAACATGAAGGCTGATGAATAGTGCCATGAGTAGCTAAACACTTCTCAAACTCAGATAAGTAATACACACCCCCTAAATCAGAACGGAGAACTTTATTGGTGGCGGAAAACTAAGTGTGAATCATGGAGTGAAAAGTAAAATATATTTTATAAAAATCAGATTTTCGAGTCATCAAATAAACCTAGGTAAACTGACTGTAAGCATCCACAAAAGACACATAATATTGCGAACCACCCTTGGTAACTATAGGGGAAGGACCCCAAACATCAATATGAACCAATTGAAAAGGAGAAGATAAAATAGAATCACCTTTATTAAAAGGTAGAGCAGACATTTTAGCCAGTTTACAACCACGACACTCAGAAATATCATCAATAGAAAAATTGCCTAAATGTCTAGACCGAACTAACATCCTCAAACAATCACTCAACAGATGACCTAACCTAAAATGCCAAATATAAAATAAAGAATACTTATTGTTTAAACAAAAAGAAGACAATGCAGTAGAAGACACTTTTAGAGGAACATGCAAGTTGTCTCAACTCTACGCCCGATCCCAATCTGCCTCTTGTATACCCGATCCTCCACAACACAATGAGAAGAAGAGACAACAACATCAAAACCGGAATCAGATAATTGACTAATAGAAATAAGACTAAATAAGATATGAGGCACATAAAATACAGGAGAAATAGATAAATGGGAAGAAGAAATAGAACCAATAGAGTGTACAAGCATAGCAGAACCATTAGCTATAGCAATAGTGACAGAAGAAGAAGGGGAGACACAATTACTGAGAAAAGATACAACAGGGGTCATATGATGTGAACAACCAGAATCAAAAATCCACAAAGTGAGGATATTACCTGAAGAGGATGAACCAGACAAACCTAACAGAGTTGTAATCATAGCAAAGGCCTGAGATGAAAGATTTGGATTAGCCACCATGAAAGACTTGAATTGCTCAAACATAGACTGCATATTGGAAGATGGACCATTCTCAAAAACTGGTGAAGAAAAGGCGACAAATGAGCGAGATCCCGAAGATGTCAGCTTAGAGGATGGTGGACCAAATGAACGACCCTTAGGCTGCAAAAGTTTAGGACAAGCATGTTTCCAATGGCCTCTTTGACGACAGAAGTTGCACTCATCCATGGAAACCCGAGGCTTAGGCTTACCAGTAACCTGAAATAAAGGAGAAGGGGTGGGCAAGAGCAGAGGAGTGGCAAAAACTGACTAGGAAGCAAGAGCACCATGAGCCACCTTAAATCGAGTTTCTTCCACAATAAGCTCACGAATAGCACCATCCACAGAAGGCAAGGGAGACTGATGAAGAATAACTCCCCGAAGTGGCTCAAGTTAATCTTGAAAGGCCATAAGAAATTGAACAAGATGTTGCTTCTCCCAATACTTGGTATAACTGTCAAGTAACTGTAAATCTGACGGTTCCATCAAACTTACCAGTAACCTGAAATAAAGGAGAAGGGGTGGGCAAGAGCAGAGGAGTGGCAAAAACTGACTAGGAAGCAAGAGCACCATGAGCCACCTTAAATCGAGTTTCTTCCACAATAAGCTCACGAATAGCACCATCCACAGAAGGCAAAGGAGACCGATGAAGAATAGTTCCCCGAAGTGGCTCAAGTTGATCTTGAAAGGCCATAAGAAATTGAACAAGATGTTGCTTCTCCCAATACTTGGTATAACTGTCAAGTAACTGTAAATCTGACGGTTCCATCAAAGCAAGCTGATCCCAATAAGTAGTCATCTCATTGTAGAACTCTTGAATGGACTTATCTTTCTGACTAGCACAGCGAATAGACATCTCAAGTTCATACTATTTTGCAAAGTTAGACTCAAGGTATATAATTTTCAAATAGTCCCAAACTTGTTTAGAAGTAGAATAGTTGAAAAAATTCATACAAATGGTAGTTTGAACTGAATTATGAAACCAAGTAAGAATTTGTGCATTTTCCTTATCCCATTTAGCAACATCAGCCTCAGTTTCTTGAGATTCCGTAGGTCTAATAGTCATACCAATCACATAGTTTCACATGCCTTTACCCATTACAAAATTTTTCATTACATGAGACCAATAAGAGTAATTGGTACCATCTAACTTAGTGGTGATAGCTTGGAATTTATCATCAGCCATAATACTATAATTAAGCAATACAATAAAACCAAAGCAGAGTGACTGATCAAAGTTGCTATTGCTATAATTACACAACCAATTAGGTCAAACTTATAATAACCTTATCACCACAAATATCAATCAAGAGAACCAAGGCAGAGAAGAGAGAGAGACTGATCCTAAAATCAAAAGTCAATTTCAGAGACAGAGACAGAGAGGCTAATTGCAGACCTTACTTTGATCGTGTGAACTAGAGGAAGAGAGAGGGGTCACCAATCCGAGCCACATAAAGGAATTACAGAGCTTCGATTGAACCAGATGAGGGGCTGCAACGGTCAATGATGACCTAGGGCTAGGAATGGCAACGGGGCGGGGCGGGGATTTAAACAAATTAATAGATCATCCATTCACAAAAAATGCACAAAAAAGTCATAATAAACGATAACAAGAACTAAGACGAGAAGGGGAAAACATTCAACATCCAACAATATTTTTCACAAAAGTACTAAATAAGAGAGGCAAAAGATTAAAAAAATAAAAAAAAATTAAATTAAAAAAAATAAAAATAAAAATAGCCCTGCCGTGTCCCCGCCGTGTCCCATGCCGTGTCCCCATATGGACACGCGTGTCCCCGCCGTGTCCCTGCCGTGTCCCCTGCAAAAAAATCATTAAATTAAAGGGACACGCCATCTGGCGTGTCCCATACGTGTCCCCGGCGTGTCCCCGTGTCCCCGGCGTGTCCCCGTGTCGGACACCGCCACGGCACTAATTTTGGAGTGTCCATGCTTCATAGTCATCAACAACAACAACAACAAGAAGTTCATCATCTAAATCAGATCTGAAACAAAAAAAAAAAAATCAGAAAAGTTTCATAAATTTTCGGAAAATTTCATCATCAACAACAACTAAAAAAAGTTTCAGAAAATACAACTCATCATCAACAACAACAACAAGAAGTTCATCATCTAAATCAGATCTGAAACAAAAAAAAAATTCAGAAAAGTTTCAGAAATTTTCGGAAAATTTCATCATCAACAACAACTAAAAAAAGTTTCAAAAAATACAACTCATCATCAACAACAACAACAACAAGTTCATCATCAGAAAATACAACTCATCATCCAAGACACATCTGACTCTGTTAAACAGATCTGATACAGATCTGAAACAGATTTGAAAAAAAAAAAAAAAAGATCTGATCTGTGAGGGAGTGGATGAGACACGGTGGTGGTCGGCGACGTCGAGAAGAGGGAGTAGATGAGACGCGGTGGTGGAGTGAATGAGAGACGCGATGTGGTGGTGGTGGTGCGAGCTGGACGGCGGCAGTGGTGGATCTGAGAGAGAGAGAAGTCAGTGAGCTAGAGAGAGTTGAGAGACGGAGACGGGATAGAAGAGAGACATGAGACATGAGATCTAAGACTGAGAGACGTGGTTTATATATATATATATAAGGGTAAAATTGTAATTTAACATCGGGGATAAATTGGGCCGGGGATCGGGGACGGGGCCGGACCGAGTACGGGGCTGGGACACTAATCCCCGTCCCCGGCCCGAATCTGTTCAGGGATTGATTTTTAAATACCATCCCCGTCCCGTCGGGGGTATTTTTCAGGGAAAACCCGCTCAATTCGGGGTCGGGGAGTCGGGTCCCCATCGGGCCGGTTTCAAATTGCCATCTCTACCTAGGGCTCCGATGCAACCAGATGAACACGCAACCTAGGGCTCAGAACCAGCAACCAACAAGAGCAATGTGCAATGAAGAGAATAGAGACCACAGAGAACTTCAGCGAAGGCCTTGCAAAGAGAGAGAAAGGGGCTGCAATTTGTCGATGATGACCTGCGAAGGTATGCTAACATCTAAGTCGTGGCTGTGATACCATGATAACAAACTGGTCTGTCTTATTATTCTATGATCAATCAAATAAGTACAAATATATAATCTAATAGAGTCAAACCCTAATCAAACCCTAACAACCTAAAGGACTATACTGTCCTTAATGAAGAATATAAACTACATAATTCACAATATCAAGTCAGTTGCTCATCAGTCCATGCAAATAGAATGCATGCACTGCAACATGGAAGCAAGGCCAGAAACAAGTTGGTCGATCAGTTATGCAGTAAACAAAATTTAAATGAACAAATAAAAATTGAGCTTGAGATCTTTTACTACAACTTGTACCACTTAGTTTCTTGAACAACAATTGGCCAGGTTTCAATAGCACTTAATTAGTGCTTTCATGCATAACTGGTAGGACAAACATGCTCAGGAAAGAGGAGACTGTAAAAACATAGATGAACATCTCACAGAATGGTTATTAATTTACTCTCACTTACTAAGTGTGACACGCTTTGCATGGATTGCACAGAGCATTGCATCTTCAAACAAATGAACCAAATAATCCTCTGCTGCCTAAAAAAATGATATCACTGACTGTAATAGGTTAATAACCAACAGAATCATAGTCCCATATCCAATCAAAACTAAGATTTTTACATAACAAATGATCTCAAGTAGTCCTGATAAAGCTTCATTGAGATGATTGATGGACAAAGGGTTAGTTGTTGAGGGTTATTAGAATCATCATTCTAGTAGGCAGATATGCGGGCACCACCCTTGGTTATATGAAAGATGTGACAGATGTGTGCCCAAAGAAAAATACCCAGATGACCAACTTGCGTATTGGCCTAGTTCCAGATAAGTAATCATAATGAATTCAATAAATCAGTTAAACCAAATGAAAACAATAAAATTGCAAATGTCAACATTGAGTCATGTATGATGTATAAAAAATGAACACCAGTTTCCACAAAAATTAACAAGATACCTTTTTTGTTATTCTGCTTAGTTATGACTTACGATACAAGAGGAAGGGAGAAAATTGACAAAAGAGAGCCAACAGCAATAATGCATAGTACAATCTCCACCTCTGAAAGGGCAAAGATGCTAATATTGCATAACTACTCATCTTTTTCTACAGTCAACATCCTACCTATCTACCTCATTATATACCAACCAAAAATTGCATATGGTCTCTCCATTTCTGCTCCTTAAGTTCTCATCTAATTATGTGACATGCCAAGACAGCCACTTAACACTGGACAGCAATGTTCCAAACATTGGTTCTCATCTAATTATGTGACAATTCTAAAATAGCAGACTACTTATCACTGCCTTACTATCATAATTACAATTACAAAATAAAGTTGACTTTCCGATCTAAATAACCCACAAATCATGTGAAATCATGGTTATAGACATTGCAATTTCGAAACCTACCAAACATGGTTAAAGATTTAAGTCCTCATACATAAATAAACAATAAAAACTTCCATACACAATATTAACATTGCTATTTAGATCCCATGTCCTACCAACATTAAAAGATCACAAATACATTAGTCAGATTTAATAAGACAATTCTAAAATAGCACACCATGTGGTATAGCTACCAAAAGCATAGAGTGCAGGAAACAAAGAAGAGAAACAAAACCAGGATATAAGTATTCAAAAGACAGAGAAGCAAGAAGGGAGATTAATCTTTGGCAATTATTATGAGGTGATAATAAAGGTAATGTGAATGATTTGTAGGAAATAGAAAGTAGAATCATTTAGTTATATATATTTTGGATAAGTAGAATGTATAATCATATGAATCTGTCTATTAATGTGGCCAATAAATTTTTGTATGCAAGTAACAATGTGGTGGTAAATCCTAACGCTGCAAGACAGTAATTACTTGTTACATTAGTTAATCAGTTGCTCATAGCTTACCTAAGATCTCAACGTTGATATAAATTCATGATGATGAAGATCAACTTTCAATACTTAGTTGGACAACATATTGGAATTGTGATTCTAGGGTAAAACTTGCTTGGTGTCTATAGGCTACTAGGGAAAATAAATCAAACCTTGGACAAGTTGAACAAAAAAATGATGGCATGTGCACAACTATGTCTACAAATACAAAAATGCACATCATCACCACCTATTTACATGCATGCATTCATACCAACACTTCCATGCACTCGTTAAATTGGAAAAGGTTGCAATTACCTCTTGAATTGCCACTAAAGCTTCAGCTGTCCACCGAATGATTTGTGGGGCAAAAAAATTGCTAATCTCTCTCACCTACCATAGATGATGAGAAACAGTAAGCCATGTCCTTCAAACCACATAATAAGATCAAATGTGTAAAAAATAAAATAAGCAATAAAAAAACAAAAAATCCAACAAAGAGCAAAATTAGCAAAGAATTGCATATAAATTCCTAATCTTCATATTAGGATGATTGGCTATAAACTTGCACACAACCTAGGAGACATTCCGCAAGATATGACGCTGTAGGAGACTATTAGTTAAGCAGTCAGTCATTAGTGTAAGAATTCTTCTAAATCCTTGTTCACAAATCCTGATTCTTTCCTCAACTTCACTTTTATTAAATTAGAATCTTGTAATAAATGATGCAAAATAATGGAGTAAAAACATTGAGAATGGTACAGAAATATGCAGCATTAGTTGAATACTAAAGTAAGGGGTTATTTGGGATGATCTAAATCAGTATACTTTTTGACTTTTTACGAAAAAGATATGCAAAAAGTAGAGAGGTGATGTGACCCAAATAAATGCACTTATTTAGTTTATGCCATATAGTGCCTAAGTAAATAAAATGTTCACCAGAATCCAGTGATAAGGCTAACACACTAAACTGGTGAAATATATACCCACCAAATTCCTTGAATTAGTTGGAACAGGTACCAAATTTGCAACCTAGTTCCCAAGCCTACCACAATCTTACAAATAAACTGGTGCCTTATGTGCTCTGACATGATAGGGGACAGCTTTATGGTAAAGTAGTTAAAATAGGATCGGGAAATCTACTATTGACTGGTTTTCTTATAACTTGTAGATAGAAGTGCATATTAGTTTTTTTCTATTCAGTAAATAAAGGTATATTAATAAGAAGGCACAAGGGTATGCCCAACCCATGTAAAGAAGGATCATTCAACTCTATACAAAAACGTCTACTCCATGCAAAATCAAAAAAATTAATTTAAGAACAGATTAATCCTCCTAGAATACCAACTATACAAAAAATTAAAAATAAATAAAAACAAAAAATCTCTTAATTTTCAAAATTGTCCTGGCATGGCCAACAAACTTTCTTCTCCGGTGTTCATTCCATATAAACCACATAATTGCCAATGGGATCAAACTTCAAGCCTTTTACACAAGCTCCACCCCAAGACCACACAAACTCCAGAACTCGCCCCGACAAGACCCACATAAGTTCAAACAAAGAAAGTGGCATAAATGAGATTACTGATCATTTCAACATAAATGTACACACACACACACACACACACATATCTATACTATTATTATTATTATTATAGGCATTATGCCAAAAGTTAGGTGTGTACTCTGCTGGAAATTTGTGTTAATGCATATAATAAGATAGTGGCATATGATAGTGGTGTTGGTGGTAGATAGTGGCATGTATAGAATATGATAGTGGTAAATATATATATATATATATATAGAGAGAGAGAGAGAGAGGGAGAGAGGGAGAGAGGTAGAGAGGTAGAGAGCTCACAGTTCTAATAAAAGGAGCAGCTGGAATGATAAGCTTACAGGTCTTCTGGTAAAACCGAATCTCACGAAGAGCCACTGTACCCGGCTTATAGCGGTGGCGTTTTGCCTGCCTTGGCTCCTCTCTTGAACCTGAATATTAGATTCCCAAATAAAAAATGCCACAATTTCAACTGAAAAAATTGCAAATAGATAGACTGAAAAATGCAAATAGATGAACTCACTCGAAGGAGCATTCCTCATTCTTCTTGCACGCGTCTGCTAAAGACAAAATATCAAAAGTCACGGTCAAATCAACAATTTTGGAGGTACATTTGGAGAATGCTCGAATACCCAACTATACATACACATTAAGCTGTATATACAAACAAAAAGTTATACAAATATATATATATAGAGAGAGAGAGAACCATCGTAACAAATTAACAATTTTAGCAAGACATTTGGAAAATGCTCACATACCCAAATATACATACACATTAAGCTGTATATACAAACGAAAAGTTATACATGTTAGATATTTAGTTGTTGTTTTTGTTTTGCTTTGTTAAATAATCCCTATTTGCTAGGGACTTAGGGGTTGTTTGGGATGAACTATATAAGTGCACTTTTTGACTTTTTGGATAAAAAAGTGGAGGAAAAAAATATGATTGTTTGTGATAACTTTTTAACTTTTTACAAAAAAATGTGTCCTAAAACATTGGATAAATAACAAAATTACATTTGTGCCCATATGCATACTGACATGGAATCTTCCGCACGTGAATACGGGTCTGGCGGACCTCTGTGGCCTTCGTAATTGTTGGAAAATAAAATTTTTTTTTTCCCCAGGTCTGGTACAATGTTTTCAAATTGTTAATTTATTTTTTTTTGGTTTTTTTGTTGTTTGTACTTGTATGAAAGTGGTGCCAGTCATATAAAAAATTAATTTTAGTACCTGTACGAGTCTGGCGAATCTCTGTGGTTTTTTGTTTTTTTGTGAATAGTTATAACGTTTTGGCTTTTTGTCTTTTGTAGGATATCCCAAACAAGCATTTAGTTAGCATTTGATCTATTCCTTTGGAGAATCCCATAAGTCTTAGGCTGTTAGAAGTGGGATATTGTTTTTCTTGATTTTCCGTTCAATTTGTTTCTGTAAGCCTATTTAAACTAGGTCTCTAATTTTATTCAATAAGAAGTCAACTTTTCACAAGTATTTTGCACTACAATATTCAAAGCTTTGATATTTAACATTTGGTATCAGAGCTCCATCAAGGGGCTTGATTATCAAAAAAGCAACAGTCTTCCCACTTGCAGCAGCAAGATCACATGGCATCAGAAAATAGTAGTTTTGTGCAACCAGCAATCCCTCGCTTTGATTGTCACTATGACCTTTGGGGCATGCTGATGGAAAACTTTTTGCTATCTAAAGAGTACTGGGGTCTTGTAGCGAATGGTATTACTGAACCAGCAGACGATGTAGTTCTGACTGATGCACAAACGAAGGTTCTCAAAGAACAAAAGCTAAAGGATTTGAAGGCAAAGAATTACTTGTTCCAGGCAATAGATCGTGCCATTCTGGAAACCATCCTCAAGAAGGACACTGCTAAAGAAATCTGGACTCCCTGAAAAAGAAGTATCAAGGCACGGCAAGGGTCAAATATGCACAACTTCAAGCTCTTCGCCAAGAGTTTGAGACCCTTCACATGAAGGGAGAGGAGTCAGTAAATGATTATTTTGCAAGAACATTGGCAATTGCAAACAATATGCGTATTCATGGCAAGAAAGAAGGCAAAGAATTACTTGTTCCAGGCAATAGATCGTGCCATTCTGGAAACCATCCTCAAGAAGGACACTGCTAAAGAAATCTGGACTCCCTGAAAAAGAAGTATCAAGGCACGGCAAGGGTCAAATATGCACAACTTCAAGCTCTTCGGGATTTTAACAAGACCCTTCACATGAAGGGAGAGGAGTCAGTAAATGATTATTTTGCAAGAACACTGGCAATTGCAAACAATATGCATATTCATGGCAAGAAAATGGGAGATGTTGCAGTCATTGAGAAAATCCTTCGCTGAATGACTCCCAAATTTGATTATGTTGTATGTTCCATTGAAGAATCGAATGACATTGATAGTATTTCGATTAATGAGTTGCAAAGCTCATTGCTGGTACATGAACAGAGGATGACTAGGCATGTTGTGGAGGAGCAAGACTTGCAAGTTTCAATTCATCGAGAAACATCCCTGGGGAGAGGCAGAGGACATAGCAGATTTCAAGGAAGAGGAAGAGGTAGGGGACGCCAACTTTCCTACAATCAAGGAGCACCATTTGACAAGGCAAGTATGGAATGCTATCATTGTCATAAGCTTGGCCATTTCCAATATGAATGCCCAGACAAGGAGAAGGATACAAAGATGAATTTTGCTGAAACTGAAGAAGAGCTACTTTTGATGGCGTACATCGACAAGAGGGAGACTAAATCAGATGATGCATGGTACTTAGACTTTGGCTGCAGCAATCACATGAGTGGTAACAAACTCCTTTTCTGTGATTTAGATGAGACTTTTAGAGAGAAAGTGAAACTTGGAAACAATACTAATATATGTGTCATGGGGAAGGGTAACATCAAAGTTCTAATGAATAACAATATGTACACTATTATTAGCGTGTTTTATGTTCCAACACTCAAAAGTAATTTGATTAGTCTTGGTCAGTAACAAGAGAAAGGTTTTGCCATCATCATTCAAAAGAGTTGTTGTCAAATTCATCATCCACAGAAGGGCTTTATTGCAAAGGTCAAAATGACAGGAAATCAGGTGTTTCCTTTGCAAACTCAAACTAAACATGCTGATCAGATATGTCACAAATCTACAGTACAAGATCTTGCATGGCTGTGGCACTATCGATATGGGCACTTGAACTTTAATGGGCTAAAAACCTTGCAACAAAAGAAAATGGTGAAAGGACTTCCACATATTCAATCTCCTTCAAAGGTTTGTGAGGATTGTATCATTGGCGAGCAGCATTATGACCCATTTCCTAGAAAGGGCGCATGGAGAGCCATCCAACCACTGCAGCTAGTCCATTCAGACATTTGCAGGCCAATTAATCCAACATCGAACAGCAATAAAAGTTACTTCATTACCTTTACTGATGACTACAGTCGAAAAACATGGGTTTATTTTTTGATAGAAAAGTCTGGGGCTATTGCTGTATTTAAAAGATTTAAAGCTCAAGTTGAAAAAGAAACTAGCAAGTCCATAAAGGTTTTCCGTACTGATCGTGGCGGTGAATTTACCTCACATGAATTCACTAACTTGTGTGCAAGAAATGGCATTCGTAGACAGCTTACTGTCGGATACACACCACAACAAAACGGTGTGTCAAAAAGGAAAAATCGCATGATCCTAAATATGGTGCGAAGCATGATTGCAAGGAAGAACATTCCTAAGAGTTTTTGGCCTGAAGCTGTAAACTGGAGCGTTCATGTGTTGAATAGAAGCCCTACACTTTCTATAAAGACCATGACACAAGAGGAAGCATGGACCGGACACAAACAAGCAATTGATCATTTCAAGATATTTGGATGCTTAGCCTATGCACATGTACCTGATGAGAAGAGAAGCAAACTTGATCAAAGGGGTGAAATGTGTGTTGCTCAGTGTCAGTAAAGAATCCAAAGCATATAGACTGTTTAAACCACTCACTCGGAAAATAATCATTAGCCTTGACGTGGTGTTTGATGAAGACAGCAGCTGGGATTGGAGTATCACAAGAAATAAATCTGTTTCGGTTGATTTAAATGCAAAAGATGAAAGCAACACTGAAGAGGAAGTGCAATCCGCTGGAGACAGTTTATCAGATGTTCCATTAAATCAGCTAGTTGAAATTGAACCTTCAAGTGAAGATGTTCAACATCCAAGAAAAAGACCCTATTGGATGACAGACTATGTAAGTGTGAATGAATTATCTGATAATGAAACTTTTGCTCATCTTGCTCTATTTGCAGATAGTGATCCTATAGTATTTAATGATGCTGTCAAGAACTTAAAATCGAGGAAAGCAATGGATGCAGAGATAGAAGCAATTGAAAAGAATGATACCTGGAAATTAATTGATCTTCTGGAAGGAGAAAACCATTGGTGTTAAACGGATCTACAAAACAAAGCTAAATGAGAAAGGAGAGGTTGATAAATTTAAGGCTCAGCTGGTGGCTAAGGGATATACACAAGAATATGGCGTTGATTATGTTGAAGTTTTTGCACCTATTGCAAGGCATGACACCATTCGTTTGGTGGCAGCACAAAATTCTTGGTCCATTTATCAGCTTGATGTAAAATCCGCTTTTCTTAATGGTGAGTTGAATGAGCAAATCTTCATTGATCAACCTCCAGGTTATGTACAGAAAGGGAATGAGCAAAAAGTTTATAGACTGAAAAAGGCTCTATATGGACTGAAACAAGCACCTCGGGCTTGGTACAGTCATATAGATTCTTACTTCTCAAGTGCTGGCTTCCAAAAATGTCCCCATGAGCATACTTTGTACGTCAAATCTGGAAAGGGAGGTAATCGTCTTATTGTTTGTCTGTATGTAGATGACTTGATATTCACTGGAAATGATGAACAATGTTTATTGAGTTTAAAAAGTCTATGATGGATGAGTTTGATATGACTAATCTAGGAAAGATGCGTTACTTTCTTGGCGTTAAGGTGGTACAATCACCAGCTGGAATTTGTGAGCTTTTATAATCCTGTTGATCAAGTATGCGCTCCTCTGTACGTCGTCGCTTTATCACCTGAAAACACAAACGTGAGCTAGTCGGCGGGGGTGTGCCGGAAACCTCTCCGATGCCTAAGTCAGTAAGCTTGACAAATAGATAAAAGCTCTGTGTTTGTGTGGCACAATCCTAGTAGGACTTCTACTCCTCCATGCAGAGTCCTCCTAGGATTTAACCTCCTGAAGGATAATACTTATCCTTCAACACCCCCCTCACTGCTTAAACCAAGTGAGATGGTTTTTACCATGGCCGAACTCCAACATGACCGAAGTAATACTGGCTATGCTGAGCCAGTATTGTAGGCCGAACTATCCTTAGTTCGGTTCTTCCTTTTGCTACAACTTATCTCAGTTCTCTCATGTACAAACCATGGCGCGTTTAGACCGAGCTACCGAGTAGCAAGTTTCTGACCGTTCTAACCACAATACGCCATGACCGGACTAACTCTGAGACCGGCCTAACTCCAAGTTGCTTCCGGTCCGGAGTAACATCACATTTATC